CACACATCCAGCACACACACACACACACACATAATCCAGCAACACACACACACACATCATCCAACACACACACATAATCCAGCACACACACACACATAATCCAGCACACACACACACATACATCCAGCACACACACACACACACACATCATCCAGCACACACACACACACACATATCAGCACACACACACACATCATCCAGCACACACACACACACACACACACTGCATTCATTATACACACTCTTCTACTTCACTCACAAACACACTACATTCACTATACACACTACTGCATTTATTATGCACATTCACTCCTACTAACACACACTACATTCACTACAAACACACTACATACACTCAGTGTACACACTCTGCACTCACTAAAAACACACTGCATTCATTATACACACCTGCATCTACTACAAACACACTACATTCATTATACACACCCTGCACTGCACTATATGCATAGGAGTGTAATTTTTTTTTAAAAGGGGGGGGGGAGAGGCGGCGGGAATCTTGGGTGAGTTCCCACACTTTTTTCCCCAGGACTTGACCCCTGTATCCCCCTATTTAAACATTTGATAAATAAAAGAACAGTATATTTCTGCTGAATCATTATTTAACTAGTGCAATGCGTACATGCATATTAAGGCATTGGAATTGACCAGGGGCTGACTTTGGGATCTGGTTATCAAGTTTAGCTTTGGGCTTAAGCACCATGCATTTTCTTGATCTAGCCCTGTATTAAGGCAATACATAAATAATAAGCATTATATGACAAGGGAAAATGTACACACTATAATGCTTTCTACCTTGATCCATTTAGTTTCATTTTTCTATTCATTTTTGTATCAATAATAAGTAGAACTTCTAAACAATATTAATGCTTATATACAAAAACTAAATATTTGCACACTGTACATGTTTTGTAGAATACATTACAACTGAGTGGGAGAATTAAACAGAAAATGCTCTCTGTCAGAAAGCCCTATGGAAGTGTTAACTATTTTCTCAGATTGAACCTGTGCCTTATTCCAACTCCTGTATCAGTCCCCAGCTCACACATCAAGACCATGCTCTCAGATCATCCATTCAATCATTACCTTATTATTTCTGACTTTATTTCCAAGTGCTCAACTTATGGTAAATTCTGTTGTTGCTTCATTGCCATAATCTATCACTCCAACAACTCTATTTTAACTCATGGTCTCAGTAATTCTTCCATGTTAAACATCTCCTTTGCCTCATTACTGTTCCCCCTGTCTGCCAGTTACCAAAGACTCTTCTGCCTCTAACGCCTAAACAGCTCACTATTACTCTTCTCTAGAACTTCCACGCGGCTCAGTTCTCCCCTATGTGATCTATTGCCTTATACTGTAGGTGTCCTGACTGTCTCTACTAAACAGTTATCTGTTACCAACCTATATTTGGCTGTTATAAGGAGATTCAACCCTATTCTGCCAACTACACCATTATCTAAGGAGGTTATATGTATTTTATAAACATTTGCCATTTAATATTTACTAAATTGTTACTACCGAGTTAACTCCATGGTGTGTGGTCGGTCTCAAACGCACATTCTTTGCCAAGAGTGATAAAGTAAAATTATTTCAGTTACTGTTTAAACTAATGTCTCATCCAATTATTGCACAATATTACACCATCAGTTCTAGAAATCCTGATACTGTTATTATAATCTGTTGATTATAGGGAGACTTATCAAAACAGATATCGAGCAGCTGTCCACAGTTACTGACCTCCAGGTGGCTTTAGGTTCAGTGACCAATTGTCCCTAGTGTGCAAGGCCTACAGAGTATTGTTGGTAGTGTGAACTAGCTCTTCTAGAGGACAAGTTACTTTGACATTTTGAAGTCAGTCCCTGCAATTTTAGGGGTGTAGATTGTTTCCAAAATATGGTGATAAGAGCTTTGGCTCTGTAAAATAGTCTCAATGTAAGATTACATATGTATGTTATTAGCAAGATAAAATTCTGAATTCTGGAGCAGTCCCAAAAAATGTACAAGAGTTTTCCTTCAGCCTGTTTAGATCTAAAACAGAGTAAACTCAGGATAGGGATGGCTTTGTGCAAACAGCATGGATTTTATACCATAAGTGAAATGATTTGTGTGATGGTAGTCACCATCACTGGGAGCAGAAGTACACTTTATAAAGGTTCCTAAATTGCTCCTATGTCTAAGCCCCTTATAGGTGCAGGGTATTTATAATGTGTTTGTATATTGTTAATTGTTTTGTGTGCTCTCCTGCCCTGTTGATGCTTGTTACCAATTAAGTGGATTTGGCTATAGAGCATATATAGTACTCTATTTTGGTAGCAACAGCTATATGCACTACCTGCATAGCAAGACTTGTTAATTTTACATATTCAGGTAGATTTGCATATTGTTAATTCATCAGGAAGGAGAGATATTTTGTGTTAATTATTGTCTTTCTTACACCTTTATAAATGTGTCATTGTGTTCTCTTTAATATTTTTATTAGTGATATTGCAGAAGGTCTTGATGGTAAGGTATGTCTTTTTGCTGATGATACTAAGATATGTAACAGGGTTGATGTTCCAGATATGCCAAATTACAAATGATTTAGGTAAACTAGAAAAATGGTCAGAATTGTGGCAACTGACATTTAATGTGGATAAGTGCAAGATAATGCATCTTGGACGTAAAAACCCAAGGGCAGAGTACAGAATATTTGATAGAGTCCTAACCTCAACATATGAGGAAAGGGATTTAGGGGTGATTATTTCTGATGACTTAAAGGTAGGCAGACAATGTAATAGAGCAGCAGGAAATGCTAGCAGAATGCTTGGTTGTATAGGGAGAGGTATTAGCAGTAGAAAGAGGGAAGTGCTCATGCCATTGTACAGAACACTGGTGAGACCTCACTTGGAGTATTGTACACAGTACTGGAGACCGTATCTTCAGAAGGATATTGATACCTTAGAGAGGGTTCAGAGAAGGGCTACTAAACTGGTTCATGGATTGCGGGATAAAACTTACCAGGAAAGGTTAAAGGATCTTAACATGTATAGCTTGGAGGAAAGACGAGACAGGGGGGATATGATAGAAACATTTAAATACATAAAGGGAATCAACACAGTAAAGGAGGAGACTATATTTAAAAGAAGAAAAACTACCACTACAAGAGGACATAGTCTTAAATTAGAGGGACAAAGGTTTAAAAATAATATCAGGAAGTATTACTTTACTGAGAGGGTAGTGGATGCATGGAATAGCCTTCCAGCTGAAGTGGTAGAGGTTAACACAGTAAAGGAGTTTAAGCATGCGTGGGATAGGCATAAGGCTATCCTAACTATAACATAAGGCTAAGGACTAATGAAAGTATTTAGAAAATTGGGCAGACTAGATGGGCCGAATGGTTCTAATCTGCCGTCACATTCTATGTTTCTATGTGTTATAATAAGTTGTTGTATGTTGTCTGTTATGATTTGGTTATTTGTATTTTATTTACGTTAACACAGAAATCTCAGCGTAATGAGCATATGAGCTAGTCCTGAGTCAAAATAAAGCTTTGTATGTTAGTTCCTTTTGGAACTGTGTGTCCTGTGTGTGTGTGTTTTTTTTTTCTCAGCCACAAAGTTTTCATATCTGTTGACTGGCCGCACAATCCTTCTAGCCGTTTGACAAATCAAAGAGAGCTAGGCCTAAGAGCCACAAAAGTCTTTATAAAGACAAGAGCAATCACATTGCAGGCAGAGGTGCATACCTGTCTGGAAGAAGGGATTGCAGAGGTATGGGCACCTGCCTGGAAGGAGAGTTGCCGCCTGGTCGGGTGTAAAAACTCCAGAGAGACTCTAGTCAAGCCTCGGCGACTAGGGTTAAAGTGCTCCATGGTCCCTGCAAGGGTCAAGGAAGCAAACTGTCAGAGGTACTCAGTCGGAGTACAGGAGCTCTGTCGCAATTTGATATGATTGTTCATGGAGTTAAGAAGAAGTAGAGCATTGCTTTGTGTGGGTCAACATTTGTTTCCATTAGGAAGAAGAGGAGTATAATGGAGAGTTATTAAGAGATCCCATTTCCACAGAGAAAAGGTGAGGAGGTCTGTGTTGTGGCTTGTATTAGTGTGGAGTGTACCATGAATGTAGCATGTTGCAGAAAAGTGTCACGGCACCAGTTAGGCATGACCCAGTGACCATGCCCAGTCAGTGCAGTCACGCTAGGGGAAGCACCACCAATATAGTTACCCAACAGCAGATTCCCCTCCAGTCTGCTCGCTCCACATCTCCTGGCCAAAATAGCGTTCGGAGAAACGACAGCACTTCAATAAGTCAAATATAAATAACCCCGCCTCCGAAAGTGAAGTTGGTGACTCAAACGTGTGTGCGTCATCAATGCGCAAGCACGTTTTGGCATCACAGGGTCAATTCTGACTAATCTTTGCCCTTCTCGGGTTATTTAAACTCAAAGTTGATTTTTTTTGTATGGTGCCCTGTCGTGGTTTCCGTTTGTTTGGTTAAATCTGAGAGAGCGTATCTTCTTGTGTATTTTATGACTTATCTGATCTTAGTGTTACCTTGACTATTATACTTTCTATTCCCCTTGACCTTTGGCTATTCTTCAGTTTATTCTGATTTCTGTAACCCTGACCTCGGCTAGTCTTGTACGTACTTTTCTACTTAGCGTTTAGTCCGGCCACGGTAAGACTCGCTAATACTATATTCCCTGTTTAGGGAAACAAGTTCTGCAATATAGGTCCTAATTATACGTGACAAATAGTTCCCTGGAACATAACTTTGTAAATGGGGTTAGATGCCTGTATAGTAGATAAGGATTTGGAAATAAGGATGCACAGAATGTCATCCTTATTGTCATCATATAAATGTGTTGTTTATATGCAATTAACAGACAATAAAACACCAATGAAGTGTATTTTTAATGTGAACCCCTGAATGAAAAAAAATCAACACACTGCATAAACCACACGCACACACTTATAATTACTTTACTTGTTGAAACTTTATGTCATATAAAAAAAAAACTTCTGTAGAATAGTAAGATGGTGATGGTGAAATCCTTATCTAAGGAGACATCAAAGGATTGTCTCAAATAAGAATAACTTTATTATAACGCAAAAATAACTAAGCCTGTCTGAAAACCAAGTAGTTTCTCTGAAAATAATAGAAATTATCAGTGAATGGTGGGCATGTTACAATAATGTATAGAGTGAGCAGACATGTCTGAATTCAAGTAGTTTTGTTTCTACAAAATATTAACAATAAATTGCAATTTAGAGTAACACCAACATGCCAGAGGTTTTACTAAATATTGCCCATACTAACATACTATACTGATTACACTGATTATAAGCTTCTGGGTAATCATGTAAAAGAACCTATATTAGCTACTGGAGCTAAATATTAAACTCCATCTCTCAAATGCTCTTTCCATTATCCAGTAGTTATTTCTCATTATTTATATCTAAAACAATCCTTCGGTGTCTTCCTATATAAGGGATTCATCATTAGTAAAGATTAATTTGTTTTCTAGGCTTATTAGGTTTAATCCTATTGGGATTTGTCTTAATTGGTTTATCTTGAAGATATCTATAGAGTAGTGCTCTCTGTGATGTACACACATTCTACCATGTGCTAAATGTGCTTTTAATCCAGTGGCTTAGTGCTGTTTTCAAGTATACAGATTTTGTGTATAACCTGCTGACCATCAAAAGTGACTTCTCCAGTCTTCCAAATGGAGCAGTATAAATAAGAAACAGAAGTAACAGGTTATAAAATATATCCAAATTTAATCTTACATAAATATCTGCTCCATTTAATGCGGCACTGTCATGCCAAACTTGTCTTCCTCTCTCAAAATCTTTTCTTCCTATCTGATCTAGTTTTCTTTAAAACATAAGACAAAGTAGGAACTACGCTTAACCTTCTTTCACCAAAGGAGGAGCTTAAGTCAGCTCCATTTCCTGTGGTCAAATAAATTTTCCCACAATAATCACCTCTCCTCCGTGATGTCGGAGCTCATGAGTGGTTCACTGGCTTTGCATCTTTTCCTAAGCTCTGTTTCAAAGCTGTTGTATATAGCAAACACAGAGAATCCATGTTTAAAATGGAATGAGGCAAAAATGTGATTCCTTGTTGGACTAATTTGCATATGCCCACCCAGAAGCCTTTGCAGTAGTAACATAACTGCAAATTTGTGAATTCTGTGGGAAAAGCAAGTCTCATGGCTTGACTGGTGTGCAGATTTTTGTTTAACATTGTATTGACTATCCACAGACTTTTAGGTGGAAGGGGTATTCAATCACAATTTTTGCCCACCAAAACCTGTTTGGTTTTTGCTTTGCAAGTACAGCCAAGCCTCAATAGCAAGCCAGTAATCAACCTCATGCTAATGATTTGCGTTAACAATGAAACAGCTGTCCATGAGTGGTTCGCTGTCTTTGCATCTTTTGCTAAGTTGTGTTTCAAAGCTGTTGTATACAGCAAACACAGACTCCAAGGAATCCATGTTTAAAAAGGAATGAGGCAAAAACGCGATTCCTTGTTGAACTAATTTGCATATGCCCACCCAGAATCCTTTGCGGTAGTAACATCACTGCAAATTTGTGATTTCTGTGGGAAAAGCAAGTCTTATGGCTTGACTTGTGTGCAGATTTTTGTTTAACATTGTATTATCTATCTATCTATCTAATCTATACACAGGTTCACACACACTTACCAATTCCTACAGAGTCACATACATATAGATTCAAACATATGCAAACACATAGACACACAGATTCACCCACACCCTCAGATTCAGACACAAAGAATCGCATTTATTCACAAATTCAGACACATAGATTAACACACTCATAGTTTCACAGACACAGTTTTACACTCCCTCCTTCACATTCACTCACAGATTCCACTACCAGATTCGGACACACATATTTAGATATAAATTGACACACCCTCAAAGATTCACCCATGCACGGATTTAGACACAAATTTACACACACTCACAGATTCATACCTTCTCACAGATTCAGACACTAATTCTTACATACAAACCCACAGATTCAGAAACACAGAATTACACTCACTCAGATTCAGGCACAGGTTCACACTCATTCAGACACACAGAATCACACTTACACACAGTCATAGAGTCACACTTACTCAGAGATTCAGATACACATAATAACACTAATTCACAGGATCAGACTCACAGATCATGTATGTACGTAGCGAGGAATGTGGTGCGACTAAAAAGAACGAGACTACCCACTTATCCCCCCAATAACGACAAACAATGCATATTGGATGAAACAGGCCACAGCATTTATTAAAACTTACAACTGTAGGACACATCCGAACTTTATTCTTTTCCTTTAATTCAAATATAAATAAACACATAAATATATATACAAACCATAATTAACATATAAATTAACACTTATTGCCCTACAGCCTCCAACTTAAATGACCGTCCTTGCCAACAAACTTAACCAGGTGCCTATGCACCAAAAACATTATCCACTGGTGTCTCGCCTCCCCCCTCGTCCAAACCAAATTCCCATCATCTTAAACGCTCTAACCACCAGCCGGCTCTTAGCTCGGTGGGCACGTCCAAGTCGGTAACTTGAAAGTTTACCTTACAGAGCAGGGGAGGTTAAGACCCACGTTGTCCATCTCCTGACATTCCATCTGCTCCCCAACCCTGTTGGCAAGGACACGCTCCCCGCTAGCTGTGATGAAACAAAAAACATAAATTAGGGTGGGTGGGAGGTAAGTTGTTTGCTGGCCAGAATCCAAACAGGCACTGAGGTAAGATGATCCCTGCCACACTACAAACACACAACCACTCCCCTAAACACATACAGCCAATCACTAGCACCATCCCCACACTCATACATGTGCCCTTGTCCGTTTAGCTGTGCTGACTCCCCAGGGCCTACACACCCAGAGACTCAGACACACTTACAGATTCATGTAGCCATCCACACTCTCATAAGGAGCAGATGGCTCTCTTCAAGCAGATTGTTAAAGTTGACTGGCAGCAGGTGCAGCCGGTGACCATTTTTGGAATATAATTTAAATGGCTTCAATAATCAAGGTTTGTTATGTGAATGTACTTTTTGAATTTTGTTTTTCTTTTTTATTCAAATAGTTGCAGGTTTTTACATAAGCAATATTAAAAAGAACATAAGAAAACAAAAAAGAGAAAATTCTAAACCAGTGTAGTAGAGATAAAAGACTCCAATAGTAAAAAGAAAGTAAGAGGGGTGGTCGAAGCCTGACCGCTGAGCAGAGCAGAGGCAGGTCACAGCAGCAGGTCACAGCAACTCCTGCTTAATAAAGTGAATTTCACTGTTAAACTACAGATAGACAGCATTATTTTACTTATCCTGGCTGCAGGGTGAAAGAGTGCTTTTTGAAACCCACAGTGCTACCACTCAAGCTGACATTCCTGAAGACTGGCCCGATTCATTTATGGTTGGCGTGAGGTAGATGGCCGCTCTCCTACTACCACTGATAGCTGATGACTCGAGTATGGGTCCTCGCGCCCCCCGTGGACCGGTGGGGGTTATCCCATCCCAAGAGAACGTTTCCACGATCAGCAATAACTACACCAGCGGAGGCACTTTGGTCCTAACATGGCAGAGGCGGCAAGTGGACCGTGGGGCAAGATTTGTGCCTGACAGGGGACCTGTACCGCTTTTTGCCCTGAACAGGCCTGTAATGTTGGGGCATTGCCACTGTTGATCTCGCCTCTATTGTTGCTAAAAAGCGAGTGAATATTTTTTCTAGGCATAGTAAAGATTGCTTCAGTGCGGTTCCTCTGATCGCCATGGCCTTGCACTTCCGAGGCATCAACGTCCGCCATCTTATGAAGCGTTACTGCTGCAGGTCAGGAGGCAGGCGTCTGGAGTTAGAGCAGTTAGGTAGGGTGGTTCAGTGGGGACCGGGATAACGCACACCGCTCTAGAGGTAGGGGGATAGGAGATTTGCTGTACTGTACAGCGTTGAGTGGAATGAGGAAGTCAGCCGCACTTTCCCAGCTCAAGCGTTAGTAGGCTGCAACCTGCTGCCGCAGGTCCCGGTGGCTAGAGGCTTTGGGAAAGGTCTCAAAAGATTTGTTGTAATGCCCCACAGGTACGTAACACTTCAGCTTGGGGTTCCCTGCCCGGTATCCAAAGATATCTCCAGGAAATCAGCACAGATAATGGGAGCTCATACAGAGCATGTCTGGTTATCTTAAGAGTCGGGCTCTGCTCCCATTTGGCTCCTTTTTTAAACATAATGAAAACAGAAATCACCCAAATGGCCCTGATCAAAAGTTTACATACTCCAGAATGTTTGGCCTTCTTGCAGACACAAGGTGACACACAGGTTAAAATGGCAATTAAAGGTTAATTTTTAATAGTCAATGAGTTTGTTAGCTCTCACGTTGATGCACTGAGCAGGCTAGATACTGAGCTGTGGGGAGCAGAAAAGAACTGTCAAAAGACCTGCGTAACAAGGTAATAGAACTTTATAAAGATGGAAAAGGATATGAAAAGATATTCAAAGCCTTAAAAATGCCAGTCAGTACTGTTCAATCACTTATTAAGAAGTGGAAAATTTGGGGATCTCTTGATACCAAGCCCAATTCAGGCAAACCAAGAAAGATTTCAGGCACAACTCCCAGAAGAATTGTTCGGGATACAAACAAAAAACCCACAGGCGACCTCAGGAGAAATACAGGCTGTTCTGGAAAAAGACGGTGTAGTTGCTTTAAGGAGCACAATACGATGATACTTGAACAAAAATGAGCTGCATGGTTGAGTTACCGGAAAGAAGCCTTTACTGCACCAATGCCACAAAAAAGTCTGGTTACAATATGCCTGACAACACCTTCACATGCCTCACAGCTTCTGGCACTCTGTAATTTGGAGTGATGAGACCAAAATAGAGCTTTATGGTCATAACCATAAGAGCTATGTTTGGAGAGGGGTCAACAAGGCCTATAGTGAAAAGAATACCATCCCCACTGTGAAGCATGGTGGTGGCTCACTGATGTTTTGCGGGTGTATGAGCTCTAAAGACAAGGGGAATCTTGTGAAAATTGATGGCAAGATGAATGCAGCATGTTATGAGAAAATACTGGCAGACAATTTGCGTTCTTCTGCATGAAAGCTGTGCATGGGACGCTCTTGGATTTTCCAGCATGACAATGACCCTAAGCACAAGGCCAAGTTGACCCTCCAGTAGTTACAGCAGAAAAAGGTGAGTTTTTGGAGTGGTCATCACAGTCTCCTGACTTTAATATAATCGAGCCACTCTGGGGAGATCTCAAACGTGTGGTTCATGCAAGACCACCAAAGACTTTGCATGACCTGTAGGAATTTTGCCAAGGCTAATGGGCAGCTATGCCACCTGAAAGAATTAGGGGCCTCATAGACAACTATTACAAAGGACAACATGCTGTCACTGATAACTTTTTTGTTGCCATGTTTTGTTTAATGATTGCGCCAATCTGGTTTAACCTACAGTTGAATATGAATCCCATAAGAAATAAAAGAAATGGGGGGCGGAGCTAGCCGTGAGGCTCCAATATGGCGCCAGACGATCCGGCAGAGCAATCCTCAGCACCCTTCAGCCCGGCGGCATCAGACAGCATATCACTCACATCTGACACTGATAGAGACAAGGATCTGAAAGAAATACTCATAAATCTCCCTTCCAAGCAGGATCTGGCTGCTATGCTGCAGAAACTTGAAGTGACCTTTCAAAAGAAAATGGATGACATCTCCACAGAAGTCAGACAGGTCAGTGAAAGGGTTAACTCCCTAGAAAATGATCATGACTGCACATGCACACAACTACAAGCCCTACAAAGCACTGTAACAGCTCATAACACACAAATGGCAGCTATGTACAGCGCACTTGACGACTTGGACAATAGGGGGCACCGGAACAATTTAAGGATTAAAGGCCTACCTGAGGCTGAGGGGGAAAACCTACACTCCACTTTGCAAGAACTTTTTAACCTAATCCTCCAACGAGACGTAACAATGCCCATTCTGCTAGATAGAGCGCACAGAGCACTCAAACCCAGGAACCCTGTAGGGGACTCCCCCAGAGATGTAATCTGCAGGCTGCACTACTACAGCGTTAAAGAGGACATCCTTAGGAGCCTCCGCCAGACATCCCAACAACTACTGTACCATGGAAGACCAGTGCAGATGAAACCACTCACTGACCTCTTAAGATCCAGGAATATACGCTACAGATGGGGATTCCCCCTCGCCATCACAACGGGGTCACTGCCACCCTCTCATCGGCCAAGGATATACAAACCTTCACTTCAGCCATTGACCTTCCAGAAGTCTGCATCCCAGACTGGTATGGACCAATACACCCGTCTCCACAGCACAATGCCCCAAGACTGAGAGGACAGACCCCGAAGAGACGCTACAATGACCAAACCACACATCAAGGGGGACACAGACCGAGAGCAGGACCCCCCACCCAGTAAAGAAATCTCCCTACCAACACCACCGGTCACCACCCACCCTTACCACGATTCTATGGTCTAACCCGCAAATACGGACAGTAGAGACTCTATTTAACGAACTGAGCTCATTGTTGGATTCATTCTGGCCCAGTTTGGATTACAAGTGTGAACAAGACCCACATATTCCCCTGGACTCCCACCAACAAGAGACGCTCTAGTGATTCAGCCGACCCTAGAGGCCAAGATCCACACACACACACCTTCCTTGGAAAAGAACACTCTAATATCCCCAACGTTACGACAGACGAGTCAGACCTCCCAATCTCTACCAGAACCAAGGATCCCATCAAGCCTCACTCTGCTTGGCCCCAAAGGAGTAGGTTTCGCACTGCCTCTGCTGTGAATCCAGGACTAAATTCTAACCACTTCGGAACTGTACAGACTCCTGAACCCAACCCTGCAAACCTTGAGCACTCTGTTTACTGAACGGCAATGATATGCCTATGGAAAGTTCAGCGGAAGGCCCACTGACTGGTATCATACTTACTCTTAAACTGGTTTACATTGTGTGAGCACATTTTGCCTCCTCAAGCCTCTCCCTGATGTTTTGCGGGTGTATGAGCTCTAAAGACAAGGGGAATCTTGTGAAAATTGATGGCAAGATGAATGCAGCATGTTATGAGAAAATACTGGCAGACAATTTGCGTTCTTCTGCATGAAAGCTGTGCATGGGACGCTCTTGGATTTTCCAGCATGTCTACCCTCATACACCTCACCTACCTCTGCTTTACCCCCTGTCCCCACACCCTTCTCCTCCCCTACGCCTTTCCTACGGTACTTCTCCTAGAAACCCGCATGGCGTGCTCCTAGTATGCTTCTAGGTATAGTTGAACTGAATTGTGTCACAAACTAAGGAGCTATGATTATTGTTTTGTGGATGTGTTCCAAATGCCTATCATGCCATTATCCTAGCTACAATACTGTACTAGATGTCTTAGGTCCTTGCAGAGTTGGAAGATGGTATGCACGCACTAACCACGGCCCAGATACCGGACCGGCACTAATGAGCCAATCCGACCCAGACCACTGAGCCCCCACCACCCATACCCATCGTGACCGGTGACCACCAAATGGTCCCATAAACTATTCACCCCCTCAAGCCTGATTTACCAATCCAAATCATTTAGCATAACATGGATTGCCCGTCTCTCCCTATGGAAAGAGCACCGTTACATCACCAAACCCCCCACCAAACTGATTCTGTTACTCTAAAAACGAGTGGAGAGTCGCCTAGAGCCTGAGCGGTGCCGGCTCAATTTCCCCTGGACTTAATTGCCACCAAAGGGAAAGCCACCGTCAAACAAGGCAGACTGACTCCACATTCAATAACATCCCAACTTCCAGTTCTACAAGTGTAAGGGTGCCCCCTTCCCCCCCTGTTATTTATTCTCACAATGGAACCATTCGTACAGGGAATTAGGGACTGCCCGGATATAACGGGCATCACAGTGGCACAAAACGAATACAAGGTCACAGCGTTTGCTGATGACCTTCTGTTCACAATCTCAAATCCAGTGACATCACTGATCCACCTCATGCAACAAATTGACCTATACCACCAAGTCTCTAACTACAAAATCAACGTCAGCAAGAACGAGATACTCCCCCTCAACCTATCCCACAATACCCGATCTATACTTCACAAAACCTACCCATTCCAATGGCCTTCAGATTCGGTCAAATACCTGGGTGTCCAACTCACTACTTCCCTAGACCGTACCTATGACATCAACTTTCCTCCTCTCCTTGCTAAGATAGCAGCAGATCTCAAGGCTTGGAACAAGCCACAATTTGGATGGCTTTGCAGGATCCACATCCTAAAAATGAATATACTCCCTAAACTTCTTTACCTGATACAAACCCTCCCCATTAAAATCCCTACCTCCTTCTTCGCACAAGCTAAGCGGACATTTACAACATTCATATGGGCGGAAAATCCCCCCAGACTCCGATACGACTGCCTCACCAAAAGTAAACAGAGAGGTGGCCTGAGTCTCCCTGACCTGGAGGCTTATTACAAAGCTATCACACTTGCAAGAATATATGAATGGGCACACCCCCGTAACGACACACAATGGGTAAGGATTGAGGCCAACTTCTTCACAACACCACTACACATTGCTCCCTGGCTAGGAAAAAGGCCCAACATAACAACACACGACTCAGAGCTACATCCAGGGCTGCCATCAGAAATGTTGGGGCCCCTGACACAGCTCAAGGTCTGGGCCCCCGGTGCCTGCACCCGAGTCCGCCCAAAGTGCTGCCCCCCCCCCTTCGAATCCGCCCACAGGGATGCAGTGTCTGCAGGACCGGTGCAAGGATTTTTGCCGCCCTAGGCAAAAGTAAAGTTTGCTGCACCCCCATGTGACATCACAATGCCCCACCCATATGATCTGCCATGTTAACTAACACCAGTGCTGCCGTGTTTGCATTAAAAGGCCTGCAGGGACAGGCTAGACACCAGAACCACTACATTAAGCTGCAGTGGTTCTGGGGACTATAGTGTCCCTTTAATGTGAGGTAAATTAGAGATTAGTGCCACGAATAATATACTAGATTGCCTACTTACAACCAGATGAGGATGATGATGGGCTCTAGCTGCCGTCTGGCTCCACTGGTCTGGTGTACAACAGGCTCTCTGGAGGCGGTTTGTAACTGTGGTCACAAAAATCACTGTTCTGGGAGAACGGGAAGCAGCTCCATTTTTTTGAGGGCCCTTTACACAGCTCAAGGTCTGGGTCCCAGGGTCCACCTTCATGTTCCACCAATGAGTTTGTTCACAGGGAGTGGAGTGTGTGTGTGGGGGATGTCCTGATGTGTGTAAGGAATGCATTGTGTGA